AGCGTTCAGTATGCAAATATTGTATGTTGATTTTACCTGCGCCTGCTGACGTATTTACGGCTGCACCTGATACCACGTATACATCTGCTGCAGGTGTACTCCCACGCACCGCAGCTGCTGTACGGCTGTTACTGAGTGTCACATTTGATACAACAGCTGTGATACTGCAGCTGTTATACGGCTGTTACGGAGAGTCAGCATATACGCTGCTTCTACGCAGCTGTTATAGGGGGACGGCTGTTTTACAGCTGTTACGGAGGGCCGAGTGTTATACAGCTGTTTCGGAGGGCCGAGTGTTATACAGCTGTTCCGGAGGGCCGAGTGTTATACAGCTGTTCCGGAGGGCCGAGTGTTATACAGCTGTTACGGAGGGCCGAGGGGTATACAGCTGTTACGGAGGGCCGAGTGTTATACAGCTGTTCCGGAGGGCCGAGTGTTATACAGCTGTTACGGAGGGCCGAGGGGTATACAGCTGTTACGGAGGTCTGAGTGATATACAGCTGTTACGGAGGGCTGAGTGTTATACAGCTGTTACGGTGGGCCAAGTGTTATACAGCTGTTACGGAGGGCCGAGTGCTATACAGCTGTTACGGAGGGCCGAGTGTTATACAGCTGTTAATGGAGACGGGTAGTTTTGAAGCCGGAAAGTCGCAGCGGTTTTACAGCTGTCAGGAATTGGCTGTTTATGCTTCTATACCGTCATGGGTTTACCAGCTGTATACATTTTAATTCTCTTAAATATCATAACAGCTGCTGGTCGATTAGGTTGTTACAGCTGGATGCGTTGTATCTATTACAGCTGTTACAGCTGCTCTCTGCAACAGCGTTGATCTGTTACAGCTGTCACAGCTGCTTTCAGCAACAGCGTTAAGCTGTTACAGCTGCTACAGGTGCTCTCTGCAACTGCGTAAAGCTGTTACAGCTATTACAGCTGGTACAGCTGCTCTCTGTAACGTTAGGCTGTTACAGCTTCTCTCTGCAACAGCGTTAAGCTGTTACAGCTGTTATAGCTGCTCTCTGCAACAGCGTTAAGCTGTTACAGCTGCTACAGCTGGTCTCTGCAGCTGCGTTAAGCTGTTACAGCTGTTACAGCTGCTCTCTGCAACTGCGTTAAGCTGTTACAGCTGTTACAGCTGCTCTCTGCAACTGCGTTAAGCTGTTACAGCTGTTACAGCTGCCCGCCGTCGGCCGGCATGTCGTCTGTCAGCACAGCTGTCAGCGCAGCGTAATGGCGTCAGTCAGCGGACAGCAGTTAATAGCTGGCATCAGCAGCGCTGACTGACGCTAGACTTTGCTTAACCCCTTCAACCCTTTACGTCGTTTCATCTTTAACCCCTTACACCGCTCCCTCTTCAACCCCTTACATCGCTCCCTCTTCAACCCCTTACATCGCTCCCTCTTCAGCCCTTTACATCGAACCCCTAAACCCCTTAACCCCTTACATCGCTCCCTCTTCATCCCCTAAACCCTTTAACCCCTTACATCGCTCCCTCTTCAACCCCTTACATCGCTCCCTCTTCAGCCCTTTACATCGCTTCCTCTTCAACCCCTAAACCCCTTAACCCCTTACATCACTCCCTCTTCATCCCCTAAACCCTTTAACCCCTTACATCGCTCCTTCTTCAGTCCCTTACATCGCTCCCTCTTCAGCCCTTTACATCGCTTCCTCTTCAACCCCTAAACCCCTTAACCCCTTACATCGCTCCCTCTTCAGTCCCTTACATCGCTCCTTCTTCAAATTTTTTCCCATCGGCCTAGCCTAACATTTTACCCCCTCTTGCCAACAGCAGCGATATAAAAACAGCAGCAACAACAGCAGCATTAAAATAATTACATCCGCAACAGCGGATAAAATAACAGTAGCGATATAAACAAATTGAGAAGCGAATTATAGGCAGCAATAACATTAATATATAAACTAAAGAAAGTACCGTAAATAACATCGGCTCTAAAATCATCAATAAATACAGTAACTTAAACCGCTATAGAAAACAATAACAACCAGTACATCTGATGACAACAGCAGCAATTAAAACAGCTGCAACAACAACAACAGCTGTCAAGCTGGCTCTCTTTACGGCTGTAATGACATCTGTCAGCTACTCTGTCACGGCTGACAGGAAACTGACAGAGCGTGACTGTAGCAACTACTCTGCTCTGGCACACTCTGCTCTGGCGCACTCTGCTCTGGCACACTCTGCTCTGACACACTCTGCTCTGACACACTCTGCTCTGGCACACTCTGCTCTAGCACACTCTGCTCTGACACACTCTGCTCTGACACACTCAGCTCCGACACACTCAGCTCTGGCACACTCTGCTGTGGCATACTCTGCTCTGACACACTCTGCTGTGGCACACTCTGCTCTGACACACTCTGCTCTGGCACACTCTGCTCTGTACTGTCTATTGTGTTTGTTGTATATATACAGTGTACAGTATACACTGTACTGTGTACTCTGTGTGCTGTATAAATACAGTGTACAGTGTACATTGTACTGTGTGTGCTGTATAAATACAGTGTACAGTATACACTGTACTGTGTGTGCTGTATAAATACAGTGTACAGTATACACTGTACTGTGTATTGGGTGTCGCCCCCGGCAGGGGGGCGCAGGAGGGGTCCAAGAGTGGGGAGGGTGGGTGTAGGGGGGTAGGGAGAGGGGGTGGGGGCGTGACGTCATCTCCCTAATAATACAGCGATAAGCACGCAGCTGCTAGCCAGCGCTGCAAGCAGCTGCGGCAACACGCAGCTGCTTGCAGCTATACAACTCATATACGCTTCACTACACACCTTATTAACACTTAAGTAATGCTACTTAGTATCACTTCATTGAATACCAAGTTACTTATGAATACCAAGTTAAATATATAGATATATATTTATATTTATATTTCCTGCTATTAATAGACGTTAAGTATTAATAGATTGATATTTATTTATAGCGGTACTAGTATACGGTATTTTTCTATAGATATATGTTCATATGTATCATATAAGAGCATTAATAGACGATATTGTTCTATACTTAGATATTTATTTACACGATTATAAATAGATTTACCGATATACACATAAGTTTTCATATATTAAGAGAATCTATAGATGAATAGATAGCCCTTGTATAAATAGCTTTAGGATATAGATATGATCAATATATGCTCGTAAATATCGCTTCAGGTAATTATAGATATATACCGGTATATGTCATGCTAATTAATATAATAATATATTAACGCGCTTAATTATAGAACGCTTCCTTATTTAATACAGACAGATATTTATGTTAACCATGACTTTTTTTAAATTACTGATAGGCATAGAGATAAAAAATATCATTTTTATATGGATATTGGGTCATGGCTATAAATATATAGACGGAAGGCAGCCATTGTGGTCTTAGCCAACTTATCATGCACAAATTCATCATAATAATAATATAATATGATAATTTAATGATAATAATTCATAACAATAATACTGTATTAAAATATTATAGTAATTTTTCATAATAATGATCCACTAAAATCGAGTGGAAAGTACATTTTCACAATTTGATTTTATTACCCGTAGATTTGCCTAATCATAATTTATAATGTTTAATAACATTATATTACAAATTGAGAAAATGATTTATTTACAAATAGTTTATATTATATAACGCTATATCAACTACAAATATACCAATTTCGTATCCTTTCCTAACGTTCACTCTGGCTTCAAAGGAAAATATAAGATGATAATATTTTATCATAACAATACCAAATTATAAATATATAAGACTGTATATATAATATACTTATATCACCATATTATTATATTATTGCATCAAATATCATATAATATATTTTTATTATATTGTAATATGCCAAATTATAAATATAATATCATAATTGTAGCACTATTTTTATACTAAACATGACTTTTCTTGTAATATTTTCTGTAATATATTTTTCCTCATCAAATAAATATGTGCTGCCCCCCTCCTCCCCATCTAAGAATAATTGAACAATACTATGATTATTACCGTATAATTGATGTTCTATTTCAATGTAAAACTATTTTTTAAAGATATATTAATCAAATAAATATATACTGCCCACGTCTTAACCCCCTTGCCTCCCCCTTCCCCCCCCAGACGATGTGCGCGAAGAACAATAATTTGAACAATAATAGGATATTTAAAATATAATAGATGTTATATTTAATAATAGTCTTTCTAATTATATATTAATCAAATAAATATATGCTGTTCACGTCCTAACCCCTCCCCCCTGCCTACCCCCTCCCCCCAGACTATGTCCTCGAAGCGCAATAAAACAATATTATGTTATTTAACCTATAATAGACGTTATATCTCATTATAATCTATTTTTTGAACGATATATTAATCAAATAAATATATGGAGACCACATTCTAATTACCCCTACCTCCCTCTCCCCCCAGACTATGTCCTAGAAGCGCAATTGCAAATATTATGATATTTAACTTATAATAGATATTATATTTAATTATAGTCTCTTTTTAACTACATATTTATCAAGTAAATATATTATGATATATTAATATATCATAACCCTCCCTTTCCTCCCAGCCGATGTCCTCCAAAGCGCAATTGCAAAAATTATGATATTTAACTTATAATAGATGTTGTTTTTCATTAAAGTCTAAAGTCCTCCCTGCCTCCCCCTCTCCCCCAGACGATGATGTCCTCGGAAACAATTGAACAATATTATGATATTTAACATAAAATAGATATATATTTAACTATAGTCTATTTTTAACGATAAACCAATCAAATAAATATATACTGACCACATCCTAACCCCCCTTCCCCCTCTCCCCCAGCCGATGTCCCCGAAGCGCAATTGCAACTATTATGATATTTAACTTATAATAGACGTTGTATTTACTTATAGCCTTTTTTAAACTATACATTCATCAAGTAAATATATTATGATATATTAACATATCATAACCCTCCCTCCCCCCCAGCCGATGTCCTCTAAGCGCAAGTCCCTGCCGACGAAGGTGCTGGACGCGTCCGTCGGCTGGGACCCCGACGTGTCTGCCGACGTCCCGACCACGTCACCCGTCGAGTCCCACGCCCTCCTCGTCACACCCGCCGACTCCGACAACTCAGACGGCGGGTTCCCGTCACCCGTCAACTGGACAGACGCGGGGGAGTTGACGGGAAAAAATTTACCGGATGACGGGGGTGCGAATTTTAACGGAAATAACGGGACTTATAACGGGCCCATAGTCCCGTTACACCCGAATGGGTCCAGGAGACACCCAGAAGGTCCCCCAGCACATGTAATGGATCACCCATTACCCCCATTCGTGAACCCATTTTTCCAGCTACACGAAGCACGCTTGTTGCACGACCACATGCAACACCAACAACACATGCAACATCTGCAACACTACAACATTCCTCCCCCACACTTCTCCCCCATGGAGGGGGGAAGAGGAGCTCCTAACCCCATGGAGGGGGTCAGAGGGATGCCTCCTAGCCCCATGGAGGGGGTCAGAGGGATACCGCCTAACCCCATTGAGGGGGTCAGAGGGATAGCTCCTAACCCCATGGAGGGTGTCAGAGGGATACCGCCTAACCCCATGGAGGGGGTGAGGGGGATGCCTCCGGACGGGGGTTACATGGGGTGCCGGCGCTCCATGGATGAGGTGCTGAGGAGGCTCGTCTCCAAGATCTCCTGCAGCTCCTTGGAGGAGGGCGAGCGACTGGCGCCACACACGTGGGTTTTGTCCGAATATTTTTGAGTGTAAAAAATATAATTCTTCATGAGGAAAGACGTTAAGTAGACGTTGAAGTAGACGTTGAAGTAGACGTTAAAGTAGACGTTAAAGTAGACGTTAAAGTAGACGTTGAAGTCTACTCTAATGTTTGGTCTTGATTGAAAATATTCAAGAAATTACGGGCTGAATAAATAAGGGCTTTATTTCATGTGGAAGTTAACTTAAATATTCGGAGTGAAATCCGTGGATTTTTCTTGCGACCTTTAAGGTAATTTTTTTGGCACCTGCAGTTCAGAATCTCAATAATTATACAGATGTCCCTAGTTCCTCTAGTTCTAGACTGTAAAAAGTATTCCAGTTATCTAGTGATAAATGTACACATATTTCTGGGACGCATCCTATTTTTAGGACACATCCTATTTCTAGGACACATCCTATTTCTAGGACATATCCTATTTCTAGGACACATCCTATTTCTAGGACACATCCCATTTTTAGGATGCATCCTATTTCTAGGACATATCCTATTTCTAGGACGCATCCTATTTCTAGGACACATCCCATTTTAAGGATGCATCCTATTTCTAGGACACATCATATCACTGCCAATCAAATTCATTCGATAATTACAACCATCATAACACATAACATTTTTGAAACTTAGTACTGAAACTTTATTGTAAGTGATCAAGGGATTATTTAAATGATTTTAATATTGACCGGAATTACAACAATGATTAAATAACCATAATCAGTAACTAATAATTCAACTTAATATCTAATAACCTTTAAATATTTATTATCTATTATTTAATTTTTATAGATCGAGCGAATTTTACTTAATTTGCAAAACTAAATAAATAATAGAACTAAATAAATTAAATTAACGAATTACATTAATTGAATCAGTGAATGCATTGATTGAATAAACAAATTAAATTTATTGATTTAATGGATTGATTCCAATAATGGATTAAATCAATTAAATTCATGAAGTATTTTTATTTAATTAATGAATTAAAATCTATCTTCATATGGACTCCACCAGGAATGGCCAACTCCACCAGCAGCAGCCCATGGACCAGCCCTATGGAGCCCCCATGTTAAGGTGCCCCCCCAGCGGGGGTGGGGAATACAACCCCCCAGCCCCCCCAACCCCCGGGGTCGGCGACCCCCTCAACAATTTAACGCAACTCATCACCGCCGAGCCTGACGCGCTCAGGACGCAAGAGAAAAAAATATCAGCCATTATTGGCGAGCTCCAGAAGCTGCTGGACTCCATACGCCGGCCCAGCAGCGACCAGCTGGATCAGGTGAGTCTAAATTGGGACAATTATACCTGCTGGACTCCATACGCCGGCCCAGCAGCGACCAGCTGGACCAGGTGAGTTTCTTTATTTTAAATAATATATGTCATGACAGCTGGAAAATTTGGGTCTAATATAGGACAATTAGTTGGTGTAATTACACCAACTGGTGTAATTCAATAATTGCGTGGTAAAGAGCGAGCGCAGACTTGAGTGTTTTTCAAATTGTCTGTAAAATCGAGGTCTGAAGTAACAGTATATTTCCAGTGCATTGATCGAATACCGCAGATATATAATAATAGTCATAATAAACAAAAATATAATAATAATAATTATTATTAGAATTATAATAATAAAATAATTATTAATTAGAATTATAATAAAAATATTAATAATTATAATTTAAATATTAAAATGCATGAGCTATGCTGCAACGGTCCTCTAAAATGACTTTAAAACTTTAACGGGATGTGCATGCAACGTTACAACCTCCCATCCTCACAGCGCGATTGCCTTCCTCTCATCATCCTGCATGGGATTGATGAGATATTAATCTCTACAATCCCATCAATATAATCAAACCCAATCCCATCAATCCCCTCCTACCCACATCACCCAAAAATGATACAGCTTGCATTAGTTTGCAAGCTTTCACCATAATCCCTAATTCCTCATTCACCATCATCCCCTCCCAACTCATCCCTAAATAGGGATTGTTCTCTCTTCCCCAATCATTCCCCACTCGGAATTGCTTTCCCTCCTGCTCCGAAGGATTGCCCTCTCCCCTCATCCCACATCCGAAATTGTCCCCCCACCAATACAAGAGATTGTTTTCCCTTCACCCTCTGCAAGAGATTGCACCCTCCCCCCATTCCCAAAGGGGATTGCGCTCTCCCCCCCGTAAGGGATTGTCACCAAAAATCACTTCTTCAATCGGTGATTGGCTTTGATGCCGTCGGCAATCTTTTATTTCGAGGAGAACGGCGGCCTGATCTGTAGCCCTTGGGATCTGTTGAGAGGATCTGTTGAATCTAAGCTGTTCAGTGGCGGCTGTTGAACGTAAGATGTTGAATGTAAGATGTTGAAAGTAAGATGTTTAACGTAAGATGTTGAATGTAAGATGTTGAAAGTAAGCTGTTGAATGTAAGATGTTGAATGTAAGATGTCGAACGTAAGATGTTGAATGTAAGATGTTGAACGTAAGATGTTGAATGTAAGATGTTGAACGTAAGATGTTGAAAGTAAGATGTTGAATCTAAGCTGTTCAGTGGCGGCTGTTGATCGTAAGATGTTGAACGTAATATGTTGAAAGTAAGATGTTGAAAGTAAGATGTTGAACGTAAGCTGTTGAACGTAAGCTGTTGAGAGTAAGATGTTCAAAGTAAGATGTTGAACGCAAGCTGTTGAAAGTAAGCTGTTGAACGCAAACTGTTGAACGCAAGCTGTTGAAAGTAAGCTATTCAGTGACGACTGATGACAAAAAAAAGAACACGAAAAATAAACAAGTTTTCAAGTTCAATGGATTTCAAGTCCTAAATCCATCTCCTCCAACTCCATTATAGTAAGCAAAAAAAGATTTAAAACTAACATTCATCAGATCCTCGTTTAAAAATCAACATAAAATAAATAAATATGTATAATTTTTTAACATTTCTAAAAGAGACACACCTGCGCTAAGAACTAGTTAACATTAATGAGCTGAACTGTAATTTTCATATACAAGTTACGTTGATGTCTTCACGTATTAATAACGAGCATTCAACATTTTTTATGGTGCATAGAGAGATTTTATCTACCAAAAATAGCTTTATTTTTATGTTGTCTGATACTTAATCAGAAAACAAAGAATCAAATTTTCGAACCGAAGAATAAGAAGGAAATAAATACAGAATTTTTACTAAGGAAACATAATCAGTTGTGAAGACCGTTGTTTACATTTTTCCTCAGTGTTCGGAAAAATTTTAAAAAGTTTTCATAGATATTTTGAATCCATCATGGGAATTTACTCTTGTACACTCAAATGAGAAACGTATAAATGAATTCGAATTTACTTTTTATCTATATACAAATTTCCTATGTTCGCGTCCTGGGCCGCGCTGATGCACAAGAAAAAATCATTGATCAGAAATACAAGCATTGATTGTGAACTTTATCAGGGAGAGTGAAGGGTAAAGGAAGGGTGAAGGAAGGGAGAGGGAAGGGTGAGGGAAGGGAGAGTGAAGGGAGAGTGAAAGGTAAAGGAAGGTTGAAGGAAGGAAGAGGGAAGGGTGAGGGAAGGGTAAAGGAAGGAAGAGTGAAGAGAGAGTGAAAGGGAAAGGAAGGTTGAAGGAAGGGAGAGGGAAGGGTGAGGGGTAGCCTTTCATTGACCCTCGCCGGTTACTTGAAGGACCAATTGAAGTTTTATAAGCATCTGCAAATCAGCAATCTACCAGCAATCCATCGGCCATGTGTAAATAAACTTTGAACGCACACAAAGAGGGAATAATTGATGTGCGTCCAGTTGTGCTGAGGGCAGTTGAGGGCAGCCGGATCAATTTCCCCTCGGGCCGACGACTTCATTTGGACTGCGAACCCTGCAGCATACAGCTTTGATGTTCTGTGTTGTGTGCTGTGTGCCGTGTTGTGCGTTGCGTATTGTGTGCAGTGTGTTGTGTGCCGTGTTGTGCGTTGTGTGTTGTGTGCTGTGCGTTGTAAGCTGTGTGCTTCGTGTTGTGTGTTGTGCGTTGTATGTTGTGTGCTGTGTGTTGTGTGTTAGCTGTTGTGTGCTGTGTGTTGTAAGCTGTGTGCTTCGTGTTGTGTGTTGTGCGTTGTATGTTGTGTGCTGTGTGTTGTGTGTTAGCTGTTGTGTGCTGTGTGTTGTGTGTTGTGCGCTGTATGTTGTGTGTTGTGTGCTGTGTGTTAGCTGTTGTGTGCTGTGTGTTGTAAGCTGTGTGCTGTGTGCCGTATAATGTGCACTGTGTACTGTGAGCTGTGTGTTGTGTGTTAGCTGTTGTGTGCTGTGTGCTGTGGTTTTATATCTAATATAATTTAAGAATCCCAATCTATACATAACAGCGAACCCGATATCTTTTAACATCAACGTTTCCCAACGGTCGTTTGAAGCCCTGTGTATTCGCATGTATTTTTTGTGTGTTCTAAACACGGAGCGCCTGTATTGTGTAGCGTGTGTTTATTTACACGCTAGTTGCTCATGCTAAACACGCTAGGCTTGCTCAGGTCGTGTCTTGTGAGTGTAGGGTTACATGCTCGGCAGAGACGCGTGCTTACGTATGCTAATGAAGTGCTGCTGCTGCTGCTGGTGCTGGTGCTGCTGCTGCTGCTGCTGCTGCTGCTGCTGCTGCTGCTGCTGGTGCCTGTCTCTTATACACATCTAGATGTGTATAAGAGACAGGTGCTGACTTGTGGCGCTGAAATTGTGGTGCTGGCATTGTGGTGCTGACATTGTGGCGCTGACATTGTGGTGCTGACATTGTGGTGCTGACATTGTGGTGCTGGCATTGTGGTGCTGGCATTGTGGTGCTGACATTGTGGTGCTGGCATTGTGGTGCTGACATTGTGGTGCTGACATTGTGGTGCTGACATTGAGGTGCTGACATTGTGGTGCTGAAACTGTGGTGCTGACATTGTGGCGCTGAAATTGTGGTGCTGGCATTGTGGTGCTGACATTGTGGCGCTGACATTGTGGTGCTGACATTGAGGTGCTGACATTGAGGTGCTGACACTGTGGCGCTGAAATTGTGGTGCTGACATTGTGGCGCTGGCATTGTGGTGCTGACATTGTGGTGCTGACATTGTGGTGCTGACATTGTGGTGCTGACATTGTGGTGCTGACATTGTGGTGCTGACATTGTGGTGCTGACATTTTGTGGCTGAGAAAATTATGAGGAAGGATATTTTAGGTTTAAAATTGCGAGGGCGAATATTTCTGTTGATATTTGGCAAATGGTGATTATCATTACTAATATTTTTTAAATACATTATTGTCGAACTTCATTTTTTATTAATATTCCTTAATTAGAGCGAGAAATCCGACAAATTTATTGCAATTTATGTTAATCCCAGCGAAAAAATGATTACCTGATAAATAAAATTGAAAAGCATTAAGCTGAAAGGATATTCCCTAATCCGGTGACAGTAGCAAATTGATTTTGATCACGAACACGTTAACAGTAAAGGGTTATCCCTCATTCAAAGTTAACCCTCATCCGAGGGTATACATATTCAGGAGAAGGTTTAGATGCCCCAAAACGGCTGCTTGAGAAACAAGCTTCCCTCTAATCCCCTCGGGACCCAAAACGATATTTTGAAAAAAGCAACGTTTTGCCACACAACTCGCTTCCTGTAAACTGCGAGCCTCGTAATCCTTGTACCCTCTCTTACCCTCGCTTACCCTCACAACGAGACTCGGTGACACACAGTCGGTACCTCATAAGTACCCTCTTGGGACACAGTGACACTTTTTTAAGCACTTGCCTTATTCTTAATACAAATTCCTAAGCAGTTCCCTATACAAATTCCTAAGTATGTTCTCACGCATGCGAGTAGGAGGCTCGTCATCTTTAGCAAGCAAAATAGACAGCGCTCTGAGGGAGCTTAAGAGGGAACTTACTCATGATTTACCCTCACATTTGCCCTCACATTGCCTGTGGCTTTCCGGTGGGTATTTTTAAGAACAGGATAATGAGTTATGTAAACAATCGCTGCTAAGTTTAAAAATATATTTTTACCCTAAAATGAAAGTATACATGTTAGTCTCATTCAATCTTTATTCTTTTATTCTTAAGCAAAGGAACTAAACTTGAATTTGTTTAATCAAGTAGAATCTTAACTGTATTTAAAGTTAATACTTATTTGTTCTGCATTAACACTCACTTCCGCTTCCGGTAAGCTTTCGTAAAGTGAGTTTCAACAAAAAGTTAGTTTAAGTTTGGCGTTTCGTGCAGTAAGTTTGAAGATGTAAGCTTTCAAAGTGAGTTATTAGAGCGATATCAATTGAGTGATAAGTAGAGTGATGAGTTTTATAAATGAAAATGCACCTGTCACGTATATTCGTCAAAAAGTATTTTGAATACACGAAGTTCACTTATACATTTTCTTACCATTGGAATAGATATGCACGAGATAGCGTATTGCTAATTGATATAGATGAGCATTCATGCATCAACATGAGCAGTCTGTTATCAGCACCGTTTTCATGAAAGGCCATGATTTTCTAGCCGCCGATAAACCGGCCACGTTTCTTTAGCAGCCGATATACCAACCGCGATTTTTAGCCGCCGCTAAACCGCGATTTTCCAGCCGCCGATACACCAACCGTGATTTTTTAGCCGCAGATAAACCGGCTACTATTTTTTTAGTCGGCCGTGGTTTTCAGAATGAATATATAAGCCCTTGTCGTAGCTCGCGTCGACAGCCTGACTTACGACATAGACCGACTTACGGCGTCGGCTTACGACATCGGCTTACGATCTCTGGCACTTTACGCTAAGCTTGGCGTCTTTCTTGTGTCATTTTATTTATTGTTTTTTTTTTATTTCTCGTCGGTTATCATAATCGCGACACGAGCGCGACAGGCGCAGGCGCTTCATTGTGGCACAAACGCTAAGGTTGTGTCTAGGCACAAAATGGAGGTATGACACAACACAAACGCTTATGTTGTGTCTAGGCACAAAACAGAGGTATGACACAACACAAACGCTTATGTTGTGTCTAGGCACAAAGCGGAGTTGTGACACAACACAAACGCTTATGTTGTGTCGAGACACAAAACGGAGTTATGGCACAGCACAAACGCTAAGATTGTGTCTAGGCACAAAACGGAGTTATGACACAACACAAGCGCTTATGTTTTGTCGAGGCACAAAATGGAGTAGTGGCACAAAATCATTCAATTTTAGCTGAGACAAAAAAAAATAAATTGCCTTAAAATTTTATGCATAAAACGTGCCACAGAATTGGGCTGTGCCAAAAAATGGAAATTTTTTAAATACGAACTAATTTTGTATTACAGAATTGAGTTGTGTCAAAGTAATGAGTTAATACCAAAATTGTGTTGTGTCGCAAAATTGGCTTGTGTTACAGCATAAAATAGTTAAAATAACTATGCTGGGCCACAAAAATGCATATATAGTGTATATAGGATATATAAATCAATTATTCATGCTAAAAAATTGAGTAGAATCCTACTACACAGATTGTCTCTTGACACACATTATCTCCCGACACTTATTGCGTCTGGACACACAAATATACACATATTTGTGTGACATATAGCGCCTGAAAGCTATTGAGTCTCGGTACACGTATTTTTGGCCTGTGTCTTGACACATGCAGAGTTGTGACACAACTGAACTTAGTCTCTGTGTGTTTTTACACTCAAACAAAGTTTGTGTTGACACCACGAGACGCCGCGTGAAGAGTGTGCCGCCGTCGCGTGTAAACTCAAGCTGCGGTAAAAGCCACGAGATTGTATCTAATCTACGACGGGGGGCAGGGGGGGCTATGCCCCCTAAGAGAGTGCTGCCCCCCATGCCCCTAAACGCGCGCCCCATGACCCATAAAGGGGACTCCATGACCATAAACGGGGGCCTCTTGCCCCCAAACGGGGACCCCATGACCATAATAGGGAGTCACCCAAGGCCCCCCAAACGGGGACCCCTTGGCCATAAACAGGGACCCCATGATCATAAAAGGGGACCCAATGACCATAAATGGGGACCCCATGCCCCCAAATTGGGGACCCCATGACCATAACCGGGGACCGCATGGCCATAATCGGGGACTCCATGACCATAAACGGGGACCCCATGACCATAAAAGGGATCCCAGGCCCCCAAACGGGGACCTCATGACCTTAAACGGGAACCCCATGACCATAAAAGGGGATCCCATGACCATAAAAGGGGATCCCAGGCCCCCAAATCGGGAATCCCATACCCCCCAAACGGGGACCCAATGCCCCCAAACGGAAACCCCATTGCCATAAACGGGGGAACCCGAGACCCCCAAACTGGGGTACGCATCATACCATGGGAACGCTTGATATAAAATTTGTATGAGTCGTTCGAAAGTAACACTGTTAATATACCAGCTGTATAATATTTACATGGCCCCATTGGAATACCAGGTGTGGTATTATGACATCATATATAACATCATGTATATCAGGTATTATAACATCAAACCAGGTATAATGCTTGATACTTGCAGCACTGATGACACTTGCAGCACTGATGACACTTGCAGCACTGATGACACTTGCAGCACTGATGACACTTGCAGCACTGATGACACTTGCAGCACACTGCTGCTCTTAATGAGTTGATGCTGCTGCTGCTCTTAATGAGTTGATGCTGCTGCTGCTGCTGTTTTTAAGATGTTACTGCTGCCCTTAGGGTGTTACTGCTGCTGCTCTTACTGGGATGCTGCCATTGATTTAACTGCTCTTAATGAGTTTCTGCCACATTTACTGCTCGTAATGAGTTTTACAGCCCACCGCTGCTATTAATTTACCTGTTGATGAGCTGACTGCTGTTGTTCTGATTATTGATGCTCTGCCTGCTGCCGTTATTGCTTATGCTGTTGTTGATCATTTTTTTAGAGTTGAAATAATTAAATATCAGGCAGGACTGTTTTTTTTATTTCCCTGCCTCACAATTTGTAAAAATTATGCCTTATTTTCACCTAACATTATGGATATTTCTCAAGGATTGTGTGTTAGAAACATGAGTTTTATTATTATGAATGAGGAATAGTGGCATTTTTAAAAGATAGTTTTTAATATAGGCAGAACTATTTGCATTTTTTCATTCAATATATGAAACACATTACCTTTTACCCATCGATCGTTTCCCATTAGGTATAAATTTTTATTCCCAGAACATCCAATTAAAAGTCTTGTCTATTTCACTGCGTTTAAATGGCAGAGCTTAAACCAACTGTAATAAAAAAATTCTGCTCGCTTTCCTTGATAATTTTGATAAACCAGCACAGCGGCTCTTGTCGGCTCTAATGTCGGGGATTATGTCGGTTAACGTGGGGTATTATGTCGGGTATAATGTCGGGTATTATGTCGGGTAGTGTGAGGTCTTATCAGCTCTAATTGTCTTTATGAGAGTCTGCTTGGTGTGGTCTTCATAAATTTAATTTATGACAGGCTAACCGACGCTTGTTCTTACGTCGGCGGCGGCTGTCGGGGCGTTTTGTCTTGCCCGACAGCGCAGCGCAAACGCCGAGTAAAAACACGTCGGCAGCGGCGGCTCAATCACGTGTCGTGTGTCGTCTTATGTCGTAATATCTACGATGTTTTATGTCGTATGATGTCGTATGTCGTATGATGTTTTATGTCGTATGATGTTTTATGCCGTGTGTTGTTTTATGTCGTATGATTTTTATATCTACGATGTTTTATGTCGCATGATTTTTTATATCTACGATGTTTTATGTCGTATGATGTTTTATATCTACGATGTTTTATGTCGTATGATGTTTTATATCTACGATGTTTTATGTAGCATACGTGCGATGATGTATAAGTGATGACGTCGTAAGTGAACTGATGTCGTAAATGTGATGTCGTATGTACAAGTTCCCGCAGCACACGCTGCTGTTTATACCCAAAAGTTGGGGAGGCCGGCAAGCCCCACGTGTCGGGGTTGAGATAACCCCCGCGATGGATGGTGGGGTTATCCATCATTGGGGACATCAACAACGTGTCATCCCCAACCCTAATCCCCAACCCCCTTCCCCTCAACCTGAGGGTTGAAACGTAAATTCTTTACGCTACCGTCACGCGCTACCATGCATCCGTCCGATGATTGTTGCTGCTAATGATTGATCATTGGACACTCGGTAATGATGGTAACATTCTTCACTTTTTAATAAGTGAAGCAGTTTAATAAGCCTACATGAGAATAATAAGAAGTTTAATAAGCCTACATAAGAATAATAAGATGTTTAATAAGCCTACATGAGAATAATAAAAAGTTTAATAAGCCTACATGAGAATAATAAGATGTTTAATAAGCCTTCAATTTTCAATATTTTTACTCAATACTTGAGTCACAGGTACACTTAGGAAAGCGAATGGGTCACATTGTCCACATATAGTGATACCTTTTTATCCACAGCTCGAGCAGGAATAAGCGGACATAACACTGTCTTTCTGCGGGCCTAACTGAGTCAGGTTGACCCATACAAGAGCGCAAATGTGCATCGCTATATGGACAAAGTGTTACGCATTTATTTGAGTTTCTCATAGAAATGCACTTATCGTAAATATATTTCATAACCTGCATCTATTCATGAGTGTATAAACTTCGGATATTGATAACTATCTAATGTGAGGAAAACTATGAACTTGAAATAGAATAATAAGTATTTATTAATATGATAATTAACGATTAATAGGATAATTATTAACATTGTGTTTCCAAGACTTCGATCATTACACTCGCTGCACTTTCACACTCTCACCTCATTTCCTTCCTACCCTTTCATTTCATTTTTCTTCAAACATCACAGTTTTTAAGCTAGAAGTTTTCATATTTTCTTACAACAGCATAGACACAGGAAACATGTTACTGCTTATTGACGAAAAGATGAAATGATGGAATGACGGTGTGATGAAATGAAATGATAGAAAAAGGAAACAAATCAATGAAAAAAGAATGTGACAAAAAAAAATTGAAACAAATGAAAAATTGCAATAAGCGAAGACAAAATTGATATGAACTAAGAAAAAAATTAAAGAAATGAAGAAAAAGTAGAAATAAAGGGGGAAAGATAATAATTTGTAAATACGGGGTGAAAGGTTCATTATTCAACCTCAATTACGATGTTTTTCGCTTTTATTTGAGATAATATGTAGACCTGAAGAACAAAATTCATAGAAAATTCCTTTGCTCTGTATATATTATAAGCAAAAACGTTACAGTAATAATTTTATGTCCATTACGTACAGAAAAAAATTTGAAACTTAAAATTGAGTCGCTTTATTTATTGAGATACACAAAATTAACATATCTTTGGGGTAAAAAGGCTTCATCGGACTCCATAAATAAATTTTCCGAAATACCCATTTGTAACTTCCGGGTTAGAAGGCGATGATGTCGTCAGCGTTAACAACCCAATTAAAGGCTCTAAACGGTCTTCCTATATCCTGCGCTAACGACCACCTAAACTCAGATCTACAGCCCTATTTATTATCTCTAAAATACCTTTTAAATGTTTGTTTTGGAGACAAACTAGCGTTTCCTCGGAAATTTCGATGAGCTTTATTAGATTGCAGCAATAACCGGGTCTAGCTCTTGTAGAAAGAGGGGTCTAAATTTTTAGATAAGTCATAGCTCTTATAAAAATATGGTCTAAATACTAGGGTAGATCGCAAATTTCATAGAAGGAGAGGTCTATATATGAAGGCAAGGTAGGAATCTTATAGAAAGAAGGGTATTAACGTGAGAGTAAGTCATAACTCTTATAAAAAGAGGGGTAGATATATGCGATTAAATTGTCTCCTGCATTTTAGTTGCCCCCCATGTATTTGAGTCACCTTACACATTTAAATCACCTCTTACATTTAAGTCTCCTTCTGCATTTAAGCCGCCACCGGCATTCAAGTCACCTCCTGCAAATAAGTCGCCTCTTACATTTAAGTCTCTTTCTGCATTCAAGTCACCTCTTATATTTAATTCATATCCTGCATTTAAGTCGTCACTTGCATTTAAGTAGCCTCCTACATTTAATTCACCTGCTGCATTTAAGTCGCATTAAAACCGCTCCCATAAAACCGCAATTCCGATACTTAGTCGGAAATACGAGCGTTTCTGCGGTCCAGAATTTCTTAAGGTGGACGCCGTGTAATTCAGAGGCGCCGTTCCGCCTCTTAAATGATCCCGCGGCCGTATTAGTTCTGAATTTGGGGTCCCTTGGGGCGACTTGGGCCCCGGGACATGTCCACTATTTCAGAGTTTCGGACGAGACATCCGTCCCCGAGGGGAACCCACAGATCTGGGGGTAAGGGGAAGGGCAGGGTGGAATCCTCAAAATATCTGAGGGGAAAATAGTTAGAGGAAGGGTGGGCGGGTAGAACCTGAAAATATTTGTAGGAAAATAGTGAGAGGAAGGGAGGGTGGGTAGAATCCTCAAGATACATGAGGGGAAAAATCAAGGGAAGAGCAATGGGAGGGTGAATCACCATCATATCCAATGGAGAACCTTAAAATCTCAAAGAGGGAAAATGTGAGGGTAAGGGATGGTGGGTGAGGGAAAACCCTTGGATTCGTGACCACCACGATCGTCCTCCGCTGGCGGTGTAATTCCCTCATCAGTATGCGGACGGCATGGCCGCCTGACCATCTCTGACCATCACCGCTTCAAGAAAGTCATAAAAATTTACTCGCAGCGGCCATTTATTAAACTTATAGCTTATATATAAACTTTTATTAAACTTATAGCTTGTTCTCACGGCCCCCAATCGCTTTACGAGCCTGCAGTGACCATTGAGGGAGGCTCGCAACCGCCCAACTTTTGGTGTAAAATAAAACTGCTATTTTAACGGGACTCAATTCTATTTGGGATCCCGAAGGAGGTTAGGATCCCGGAGGATATTAGGGTCCATGAGAATGTTAGGATTCCGAAGGACCTAAGGATCATGGAGGATGTTCCGATCCCGTAGAATACCTGAGTGTACTTGGACACGGGTATAGTACTTGCGGCTAGTAGATCAGAAAATTGCCACATGTCTGCCGCTTGGTGTCTAAGCTTCCTTCCGGAATAGGCACCAAGCGGCAGACATTTGGCAATTTTCTGATCTACTAGCCGCAAGTACTATCCCCGTGTACAAGCACCTCATGGGGTTCGGGAGGATATTAATATCCCGGATGATATTAGGATAACAGAGGATGTCAGTAAATCGGAAGATAGCAGTCCTATAGGACATTAGAATCCCAAATAATATTAGGATCCCGGAAGATGTTAGGTAACGAAGGATATTATGAAAAAGGAATCCTTATCATCTCATAATCTCATTATATCCTGCGCTCCTTCACACCTGCTCTGTAGGTAACATAATTGAGGAAATTGTAAGAAAAAAATTTTTGTAAAGAAATACGTTTTTTTTAATTTTATTTGTTTTAAATTAAAAAAAACAGTCTTACTGACGAGCAATTTGAGCAGTAAAACAGTAGAAGGAATGGAAGGGGAATATTGGCGGAAGGTTAAACAAAGTCCGGAAGCTGATGAAAAAAAAAACAGCAAAACGGAGGCGAAAAAAATGCGCGTGCTTGTGGTCTAGCGGGTGAGGGATGATGGGTGAGGGATGATGGGTGAGGGATGATGGGTGAGGGATGATGGGTGAGGGATGATGGGTGAGGGATGATGGGTGAGGGATGATGGGTTGAGGGATGATGGGTTGAGGGATGATGGGTGAGGGATGATGGGTGAGGGATGATGGGTGAGGGATGATGGGTGAGGGATGATGGGTGAGGGGTGATGGGTGAGGGATGATGGGTTGAGGGATGATGGGTGAGGAGTCCACCTTTGAAAATAAGCAATATTACCTTGTACATGAATCCCGATTTGAAAAATTCACTTGAAGCAAACCACGCTTCAAATGAAGCCGTAGCTCCCCAGTAATGAGGTGCATGTTTCGCTTCACGTATCAAAAATCCGACCTGTGAAGTCCCCCACGAATTAAACCAAAAAATCCACCGAAAATATATGCCTAATAACATAACCTAGGCCTAATGCAGTTGCTAATATTTGCTGGATGATTCGGTGCCATCAAAGACTCTTCAGGACTTTGCTTTCAATTACAAGAGGGTAATGAGCAGCGCCGGTGAATGCACTGAGACCCTCTAATGGCACACGCAAGATACCCTCGATCTTTGCGCCTCAAAGCTCCCCTCGAATTTTGGGGCTGATTTTCTACACCCCATTTGTAAATCGGGGGAAGGGGGTGGACAGAGTCGAGGGTGGACTGAGGGTTAGGGGGACGTTATATAATTCTTTACGTTATAGTTATTTTTTTCAAGTCAGCTCTGACCAGTAGAGCTTGGTAGAGTATCTATAGGTTACTAATTAGAAAATAGTTGAGATCATTTAAACCTAAACTTATGTTCTAATTAGATCATTGATAATTAGCTTAACATTAGCTGGTATCATGTCCAAATGGTGATAACTAATTAATAATTGCTGTACGCAATTCATTATGTAATCAATTCATTCGAATAAAATTTTCGAAAAAACATCCAGAATTTCCAATGGTCGATGAAATTGACTAAGGGAATAAGAATTAAATATTTTGTGTATAATTTGAATTATATTTCTATAAATAAATTATTTCTGAAATGTTCGCTTTCTTTCGTACCATGGACGAAAATTATGCTACTGTGCGAGTAATTCATAATACAAGAAAATATTTCAAATTACTTTTTGAAGAAATTTGATTCACGTTGCGAGCAAACAATTTGTACACATTGCAGCTGATGTGTAGCTGCTGTATAGCTGATGTATGGCTGCTGCATAGCTCCTGTATGGCTGCTGCATAGCTGTCGTGTAGCTGCTGTATAGCTGATGTATGGCTGCTGCATAGCTCATGTATGGCTGCTGTATAGCTGTCGTGTAGCTGCTGTATAGCTGATGTATGGCTGCTGCATAGCTCCTGTATGGCTGCTGTATAGCTGTCGTGTAGCTGCTGTATAGCTGATGTATGGCTGCTGCATAGCTCATGTATGGCTGCTGTATAGCTGTCGTGTAGCTGCTGTATAGCTGATGTATGGCTGCTGCATA